TGCTGGTACAGGTACTAATTGTGACCCTTGGTACTTGATGTAATTTGAAGGTGCATGTACTAAATTTAGACCCATTTAGACCCATACTTAATGAAATTTACAGGTACTAATGGAGACCCTGGGTACTTGATGTAATTTGCTGGTACATGTACTAAGTAAAATAGAGACCCCTGGTACATGTATTTGCTGTAATTTGCAGTTACATGTTCTAATAGAGACCCTGGGTACTTAATATTATTTGCAGGTGTTAATAGTGACTCTTGTTACTTGCTGTAATTTGTAAAGTACATATACTAATATATTTATTTTGGGTACTTGATGTAATTTGCAGGTACTAATAGAGACCCTGGTGGCCTGCGGTGCCAGTGTGCGATGGTGTGCCTGTAACATCTACTCCACACAGAACGAGGTGGCCGCGGCACTGGCTGAAGCAGGTTTGTTTTTCAAGGTTTTGTACAATAAACCCCTTAAATATTTGTACCAAAACTGTGCTGACATTAAAATCTGATATGGCGATTTGTTTGTATGATCTGTATTGTCAGAAATTTTGAATTGATTGAACGTTTGGAATCTGAAATTTTTTTGTTTCTTGTGCCTATAGGATATCCCATCTTTGCCTGGAGGGGGGAGACAGAGGATGACTTCTGGTGGTGTATAGAGAAGAGCATCAGCAATGAGGGCTGGCAGCCAAACATGGTCAGTCAAACCATTTATTCTGTCAGATGAACCCTGGGGATTTCTTTAGTGCCATATCATTGTTCCAGCCAGGCTTCTTTTTTTTGTCATCCAGTGTTGTAGCTAGCCAGCCAGGAATGTTTTCCCATTTTGTTTTTGGCATGTCTGTGTGCGTGTGTGTGTGTGTTTCTGTGTGTCCTTACATGTATGTCAGATTGTAATGGATATAGTTGGGTTCAGTCTGTTCCAGAGGGTATTAATCCTGTCTACAATGCATCTGGTAGCACTTGTTGTTTCCACAAGTGTTTTTTTTTTTTCATTACATGACCTCCTTGACAGCTGGTGTTGTTTCCCTTGCACAACTTGTAGACACCGTGGGGAATGACAAGAGGACACAATCACCATTGCACAAGATCTATCATAAACTATTTCATGGAGGTCTGAGATCTCTGAATTCTTGTCCACATTGTGAAAGTCCTGTGTGTTGTGTGTTTAGATCCTGGATGACGGGGGTGACCTGACCCACGTCATGTTCAAGAAGCACCCTCACATGTTCGGCATGATCAAGGGCATTGTGGAGGAGAGCGTCACTGGTGTACACAGGTCAGGACATATATGGGATACTCAGTTCTCATAGACAATAGTTATATTCTAAGTCTCTTTCTGAAGAGAGGCTTCTAGCTCAAGCAATGGTTGATTAATTAGTTGTCTCCAGATTCAAAGGCAGAGGTACATTGTATTATCCCTTATATAACATATAATCTTCTCGGCTGCCTTGGCAGGACTGTAAATATATAGGGGATTAGCAGTCAATCCATCAGTAGTCATGCTCCACATTGTTAATCCCAAAAGCCAGGATAATGTCAGGCTCATTGGGTCACCTTGAGGTACATGTACTACTGGTTTAAACAGGGAGTGGCTATTTTGAATGTTAAGATATTGTGTCGCCTTGGTGTTTTTGACACCTTTCTTGTGAAGGTCATAAGGGAATACAGAATAACCAATTGTTGCATGTACTTTAACTGATACTGATACTGTTTATTCACATTGATAGGCAACCAGTGTTGGCTGAATTACACAAGTGATTACATATTAAAAACTTGAAAGAAATACACATTAAAAAGCACAGCATTGACAATTAAAATTAAACAGGTTTAAGTCGGTCCATTAAAACAGAGGTGGGCTACTATTCACAGATCTTGATAACTGAGGCTTATTGCCTGAAAGAGGAATGATTTTCTCAGTCTAATGAGTGACTGACGTGAATGGCAGTCCCATGTGAAAACTTGGCATGGTAAGCCTGTAACCTTGTTGTTTGTCACTCCCCTCCCCAGATTGTACCAGCTCTCCAAGTCAGGCAAACTGACAGTCCCGGCCATGAACGTGAATGACTCCGTCACAAAGGTATGTGTTCAACAAATGTCGTTTTATATCTGTTAAAACCACCGCAAGTGGGGATGTAAGTTTTGTGTTTCTTGAAGTGTGCACCGAAAGTGTCCAAGCCAAAAAAAAATTAAAAAGACAGTAATATTTCTGCTTACCTTGTCCTGAAAGGAAAATATCTAGACTAAAGTGTGCTGTGTGGATTTTTGTCAACCATTTTCCTTAGACCGAGTGAAATCTCTCACCAAATTTTGTCCGAAACACCTGTGGTAAAATGTTTGAAGGAAGAAAGCGAAGAAGACAAATTTTGTTTAGAATACAAACTTGTGTTAGTTTGTACCTTTTTTAAGGTTGGACTGTTGCAAGTTGTTGCTTCTGTTCCGAGTTGATTATGTGGTATATTTCTGTCTGTTTTTTACTTCTCTGGGCTGATCCAGATTTTAGTACCATGCCGACATAGTCTAATTGCAGGTGTCGTTTCTTTCCTACCCACAGCAAAAGTTTGATAACTTATACAGCTGTCGCGAGTCAGTTTTGGATGCGTAAGCACACTCTTGAATTGCTTTTCTTCATGTCTTAAAGAACCCAGGGGGATCGGCAGAAGTAGCATCATCACACACTTTTACTTTTTTTTTTAATCAAATGCAAGTCTTTTTTTTTTGAGCAAGGTTTTTACTTTCTGTCTTCCTAATCCACTCTTGACCAAGTTTACGACAGCACCAAAAAAAACAAAACAAGAAAGCACTGCCAAAAACTGATAGTTCACGTATCCAGTTTCATGGTCAAGTGCTTTTCTATTTAGAAAATGCATGTTCTTTGAATGTACTGCAAATCACTTTATAAATATTGTGGTACTTTTATATTCGCGTTTTTTTTTTTTTGTGGTCACTTCTGTATCGCAAATTTATTGTTACAAGTTCCGCGAAAGTGTCCATTTTTCTCAGACTGCAAAATTTTGCTACAGTGGTTTACAGTACCTAGAGGCTGAGAGCAGTGCAACAAATTTTGTCAACCAAAATGTATTCATTTAGAAGAAGAAGTTTTCCTTTCCCGAGTCCAAAGTGTAGAAGTGTAGCATGCCCTCCTCCCGGTCCCCCTCTGTTCCTGTTTAAACGAGTCACTTCTTCTGTAATAAAGCTTCTCTTACAGCTGAGTCGTCCCAGCTGCATGTTTTATGCAAATGAATAGTCTGAGAAAGAAGCAAACATGACACAGTAATGCTTAGACAAGCTCTTGGTCTCACACATGACATTGTGATATTTTGTGTTTTTTCTGTTTTCTATTACATGATGAGTAGATGAGTGACATTTCTCTAGAATTGTTGTCAGGGACAGCATTTCTTTTGTGGCAGATTTTCAAGAAAAATTATATAATCAGATGTAGATTTTTCAAAGATCTACCATTTGTCCTGTTAAAAGTATGAGGAGTTTAAGAGAAAATGTAGATGTTAGGACTTCTTATAGTAAAGTGATAACCAAAATTACACCAAAAAACTACAGTATATGTAAATTTTATCATGTATTTCATCAAATATATGTTCCAAGACCAGTATGAAGAACTGTTACACACAAAGACTGTTTCTTTCCTCTGCAGGTTGAAACGCACCACTGATATCATGTTTGGTGGCAAACATGTGGTGGTCTGTGGCTACGGAGAGGTCAGTTTCCATTGCCTTGGATATTCTTAGGTCTTTGCACTCTCTTGTTGTAAAAGTTAACCTCATTTGGTAGAGGCATTGCGGTGTTCACAGTATTTTAAAATCAATATGCAAATGTAAGTATGTCTCTGTTGAATGAGGGAAATGTCCTGAAAAATGTCATTATGTATATTTAATTTATGTAGTGAAGTCACACATCACCTAGGTGTTTTTCACACCATTCTTGTTGAGGTGATAAGGGAGCATATCCAACTGCTGCATGTATGTCGATAAGTGACTGCGTGTTGAATGACAGTCATATACAGGTAGGTAGCACTGTCCATGGTACTGAATGGCAGTCACATAGCTATCACTGTCCATGGTACTGAATGACAGTCACACTGACATTACTGTTTGTGGCACTGAATAGCTTTCACATACATAGCTTTCATATCCTTAATGTTCCATTTTTATGCATGTAACTTTGTTAGAATTCCTTGGATCTGTAGTTGCTTGTTGTTGTTTACGAACATGTTTGTTGCAGGTTGGGAAAGGCTGCTGCTCTGCACTGCGTGGCCTGGGTGCCATTGTCTGTGTCACAGAGATTGACCCTATCTGTGCCCTACAGGCCAGGTATGTCTCACATATTTCTCTGTACTGTCTGTATATTGTATTTGCCAGAAAATAAATCTGAGGACTGGACTTAAAGGGGCATTGTGTAACATTTTTGCACCAAGAATTGAAATATTTTGTAGTATGGACTTACAAAATGTAGATTTACACTCAATCACTATTGATTTCTTGCAGCATGGAAGGCTTCAAGGTGGTGACCCTGAATGAGGTAATCCGTCAGGTCGACGTTGTCATCACAGCGTCAGGTCAGTCTTCCAACAAGCATTCCTGTAATAATGTGTCAAACACAGCACGTCTTAGACCAGTGTACAAGCCAGCATTCGTATTTCTATCATTTTATGCTGCTTAGTCTGGTAGCAAAATTTTCCCCTCGAAATGCAGGAAATAGCATTTTAGAGGGTCAAGATGTCAAAATTTTGAAGTCAAAATTTTGAAAATTAATTGTGTTTTTTCATCATACATGTAGGTAATAAGAATGTGGTGACCCGGGACCACTTGGACCGTATGAAGACGGGCTGTGTGGTGTGTAACATGGGGCACTCCAACACTGAGATTGACGTGGTTAGTATCATAATCTTTGATCATCTGAAATTGTAGGAGATTGCAAAGGTTGCTATAGCTTTGTTACACTTTCTCTCTGTCAGTCTGTCACAAAATGACTTAACTCCGTAATAATAGGATGGTACAGTTCCTTTTCAAAATCAAATTTGAGCTTTAAATTGAGATACAAAATATTCAAAATAGCTTTGTTAAAAGGAAAGGAAAAATGTTCTTGATCCAGGTGTAGATAACTCCAGGTGCAGATTCATTGTACCGGGGAAATTCCCCTAGCTCTTTTTGACCAGCACATTGCACCACAGTTTAACATCCCGTCCTAAGGACTGCAACCCTTTCCAGTAGCATGTCATCCTTGATTACGCAATTATATGTACAATGTAAAATCTTAAACAGAGATGTTCTGCCAAGTACATTACAATAAGGTCTCACGCGAGTGCAGTATATTCTGCCAGTACATTTTCATGTTAAATCTATAGCCTACATCCACTTGTTTTTACAGGACAGCCTGCGCACCCCCGAGTTGACCTGGGAGAAGGTACGGTCCCAAGTTGACCATGTCCTCTGGCCTGATGGGAAAAGGATCATCTTGCTGGCTGAGGTATGTCTTTGATGACATAAATTTTTTCGTCTGTATGCAGAAGTTGTTCTTTGATCCCAACAAATGGTAACGGGGGATATCCAAATTTCGGTAGGATCCAAAGTGCAGTTGGCATCAAAATATGTGATTGATTGCTGATGGATGAGTACTGCCACCTTGCAGTTGTATCCTGTACTGCAGCTAGACATAGTCAATGATTGTAACTCAAGACAACACTGACCGATAGAGACTTTGACTTACAGGCGAGGCAAAACCTGATGGCATGAAAACAGCGCACACACCTTAGGATACGTTTTTAATTTTTTTTGTGTAAATTGGCCCGCTTTGGCCTATATCAAGAACGTACATTCAGATCACATGCTACCTGGAGGGTTTGCATAAAATCTAAACGTACATTCTTTATGTATGTCAATCAAAGCAGGCCAATTTACATACAGGAAAAATTTGACATAAAAAAATGCAGTTTTCCTAGACTCGTGTTAGTATGCAGTTTTCTTATCTGTGATATTTTTGCCCACTTGTAAATCTAGTCTCTATGGGTCAGTATGTTGTCTTGAGTTACACATGTATAATCACTGACTTTGTTTAGCTGCAGTACAGGATGCAACTGCAAGGTGGCACTACTGATCCACCGGAAATTGCTTAGAAATGTATGTATTTTCCAGGGACGTCTGGTGAACCTGAGCTGCTCCAGTGTCCCCTCCTTCGTGGTGTCCATCACAGCGGCCACCCAGGCCCTGGCACTGATAGAACTCTTCAATGCACCCGCCGGCCGCTACAAACAAGATGTCTACCTCCTGCCCAAGAAGATGGGTAAGTTTTGGCTAACAGACTCTTCTTTCACTAGTAATCATAAAAATGAAAAAAAAAAAAAAAAAAAATTGCCTTTAAGTTGGTAGAATAAGCCCTAAATTGACAAGTGGGTAGAGTGCAATGGCCAAGCAGATAGAGGGTTTCCCTTGCAGGAGAAAACTGTACCGTTACTCAAGTAACTGGATAGATTTTGAAAACTATCAAGTGTTTCAAGTAGCATCCACTACTTTTTATTAGTGCCTAACTAGCTTTGTTACCAAATCTATTTTAGCTCCCGAGTCCTACATTGTACATCCTCTCCACAAATAGGATGTAGGACTCGGGAGCTGAAATAGGTTTGGTAACTAGGTTAGTACCTATCAGAATCTGTAGATGAACAGGTTTTCATAAGTTTTTGGATAAATACCTGTTCAGCTACAGATTCCTTTAGTCAAGTGTATGTGTGTAACAGTTTTCTTGTATGCATGTAGCTGTTTTACTTATGTACTTTGGCTCTCTCATAGATGAGTATGTGGCGAGCCTCCATCTGCCAGCCTTTGACGCCCACCTGACGGAGCTGAGTGATGAGCAGGCCAGGTACCTGGGCATCGGGAAGGCTGGGCCCTTCAAACCCAACTACTACAGGTAGGGAAAAAGTTATCAAGCAAGGATTGTTGATGTTTGATTTTCCCTTAAAACTATTGTAGAGTGGAACTCACTGCCACCAAGTGCAGTAGATAGCTTTAAACAAGATTTTCTGTTAGATATGCAAATGTTAGGTGTAACAGGTTGTTCAGTGTAATATAACACATCATACATTATGTACATGATGTGTTATGGCACGGAAAGGTTATACTAGCTATACAGACACCCGGATACATATATTATACTGATCAGCTGGGTTGTCAATTGAATTTCACTGGCTCATTTCTGTACCATACCAAGGAGAAAACCCCTCCAGAAGATGGCATGATTCCTTGATGGAAATCCCGGGCAGGCCCCAGTGTCATATCCTTGGGAAAAACTTGAAAAGAAAATAACCTGTCATGTCAAACTTTCCACAAATGTGGTAAATCTTAATAAATACTGTGATTCTCTTATTTGTCCTTTCACCGTGGAAAGCTCACCACCAGGTGGTAGCAAGTTTCCGTACCTATTTGTAAAAGCTTGAAGTTATTAACTTTTTTTATGTTTTTGATTTGTAGTAGTCCACTGTTTTCTGCTGCTGCAGTAGCTTCGGCATCCTGCAGCAACAATCAGTCTTTCTTCAGTTCTCTCCACTTTGTCCTATTCATCGCGAGCCTCCTGAGCTCCTGGAGTTTACTTTCTGACCGCAATGGTCCTAGTCCTCTTTCCTTGGGGTCTGCCCTCAGCAAACTTAGCAGATTACTGGAGTTTTTGATTTACATCATCATAATCGGTCGACCATATTGGTTGGACTTGTACCGCCCCTTACAAGGTGACATACCCTTTTTTAGCTTAATACAAGATGGGGTTCGCCAGGCCTCCGCACGGGAAATGATGTAAATCACCATGTGGTTGATACGTAACAGAGATTCACCAGGCCTCTGTCTAGGTGACTTGAAGTGAATCACTCCAATCAACTCCATACAGTAGTATTTGTACCATTGCACACCAGGGCATGCCTCTACTCTTTTTCGATCTACAGTTAGAACTAACCGGCCTGTTGTGTCATGTCCAGGTATTGAGACATCAAAGAGGATGAGGAGGACCCAGAGGCAGTTGCCATGACAACCAACAGCTGCCCGTTACAGGATGTACCAGACAGTCCCACTTCAACCAATCGCTGCTAACAGGACCTGTCGACGGATTTTGGGCTCACACCAAAGGCAGCCAAAAAATCCTCCTCAGATATATAATGGTCTGCACCGTTTAGGGCATTACGGTATTCACCCTATGAAATCAAAGCACACATGACAGGGAACATGATTTGTATTACCACTATTAGAATAAACAAGATGAAACGTAGTCAAAAAGGAAAATTTTCGGAGTAAATCTAGATAGCTATTGTGCATTTATGGGGAAATACAGTACTCTAGCCTTGAATGCAAGATCAGCTTGTGTGCCAAGACGAGATGTAGGATTATCACTAGCAGGTGTTGCTTGGAGCAAGAAATGGCACACGGATAAAATTTCATGCAAGTCTACATAATACTGCAAGCTGTAGCTTACTGCTATGTACAAATGTACTACCTCTAGGGCCGCTGCTGCCTACTACTACTGACTGGAGTGAGAACTGCCAGGCATAATGGTTTCAGAGACTGTCAGGGATAGTCTTTAAAGCGTAGTTCACCTGAACCACTTCTACAGAGCTGAAATGTCCTCGTAAGAGAGTTGCGACGATTTAGGTGCCGCAATTTCAGGTTGACTCTTTGATGAGGATCTCTTGGCAACTTGGATCACAATTCGATCTGCAACAACGTGATTGCATACACACACATGTAGCTCTCACACAACTTTTGCTATTCTGAAGAAACATATTGTAGTTTTCTGAAAGCTAGTCGAAATTCACGGACCATACTGTGAATCTTTGGTCTTATTTTCGTGGTGATCTCTTACCATGAATTCATGACACCACGAGTACATATAGGAGTTTTGAATAATTTCAACCGTGAACTTCAAACACTGAAATTAACTTTTTCAAGCACTGAAATTAAGTTCCCACAAAAATAGCCTAATTTACAGCAATGCAAGGAAAGTCTAAATAAAAACCAGGGTTTTCCCAAAAGCACAATATTTTGCTATTTGTTTCTCCTCAGATACATTATGCCAGGTTGTTTTCAGTCTTTTCTCACAGCAAACAGTTTCTAGAAGCCATCTTAACACAAAAAGCAGGTGGAGAGGCAATCCTAGCACAGACAACTTGCTTCCTGTCCTCCTGCAAAGAAAAGTAATTCTATTTTATAGTAGTAGTATAACTAGCCACAGAGGAAGACCTAGCCGTGTATATTTAGAGTCAACCTAAAACGTGACCGTACGTATGTGGTGGATTTAAACAGATCATTCTGGTGTGCACCAAAATTCTACATTGAGTTAGATTGGAGTGACAGTACAATATAATGCACAGATTGTTTTAGTAACTAAAAATTAAAGTTAATACAACTCTTAATAAAATGTAAAATCATCAATGTTTACTTAAAGAACTTGTGACAGAATAAAGAGAAGGAAGAACTAGCTTGTGAGGTCTGAGCAGAGTATAGATGATAAAAGTGGGGATGAAATGTTCTTAATTACTCTTGTCTTAGATATGTGCTCATTTAAAATGCAAAAAATCATAGAAATCTCACCTTACCACTGGCTAAAGAAAAGTAGAGTATAATGCTTGTGACATGGTTGAAGACCTTGCTTGAAATTCTACATGTATTTTTCAACTTAAGTGTGGCTAGAGTCAGTGTTGGTGACAGTATACACCCTACTGAATGTGATTATTTCGAACTACATTGTTTCATTGTTCTATTTAACAATCGATTCAACAAATCTAGCTTAAAAAGCCTGAATTATACACTCTGTGGATGATGTTCATTGGAATCCTGTCTTACTTCATTCCAAAATTACACGCAGGATGCTATAACGTTAGATATCTGGCTAATATTTAGAAACAGTAAAACTATTGGTACTTTACACTTTATCACCATTAACAATCTTCTTAATACAAAGCTCTAGTTATCAAGATACAAAATCAAGGCTGAAATTTCGGATGTTGCGTTTCTGATAATGATTTAACATTTGTGTTTGATTGTACAAACTAATGATATTGTATGAGATTATAGACATGTGTTACCCTTTCAGTTGTCACGTGTTAGTTGTATGGTTTCTGTGCCTCATCATCAGAATGATATGTTCCTTATGTCCATGGATGATCAATTTTGTGTGTCACTGCCTTATGTTCAAAGCTCCAAAATAAAATTTGGAATTAAAATCATGTCATGTTTCTTTTTTTTAGTGTTTTACTTATGTTTTCAATGGGCTGAAAGTGATTACTAACTTAAGTCTAATGTCTTCCATATTTTTATGTCAGTGCCACATACATTCTACACCACTAGAGCAATATTTTTGTTGCAGTAATTGCCAATTTAGGGAAACGCTTAGCAAAACTGACAGTTTGAGGCACTTGTGTTGAAATAGCCATGCATCAAACGCGCCCCCTAGCGGCAATACGTTTTTTGACACATGCAGTTGAAATCAGTAATTTTCCACTGGCCACAAACGTATGACGTCATGTACTCTACGTGGTTTTCCAACTTGACGTTATTGTGCAGAAATGGACTTGCACGCTCAGTTAAAAAAATGTTCAAAACATTTCTTTTGTGGATTATTTCGGGCAAGTTTCCTCAGAGTATGTAGTTAAAGGCGTGTTCCACTGGCTGAATGAAAATTTGTGGGGCATTTCGCGGTAATTTTTCCATAAAGACGACAAAAGTTCAGGAAACAACCGGCAGCTGAACAGAGCGTGGGTGTGACGTAGGTAAGTTTGTTGAACAGTCCGTCATTTCTGAGGGAAGTTTTAGTGTAAAATTACCTCTAATTTGTTTACAACAGTGCACAGCACGGGCTTTGTATAGTTATCCTTCAGTTCGTTGGTAATTTTCTGTTTTTTCTAGGGTATTTTTAATCACAATTTCTTGTAAAAACACCGTAAACATTTTAAAAGCCTCTGTTGTCAAATTTTGACGTACTGAAAGTTTCTGTCTTTTGATGAAATAAATTTTCCGCGAGTTTAAATATTTTGCTAAAAAAAGCGGCGCGACGTTCTGTGTTTTTGGTACTTTTTTACGTAATAATTTTGAGAAAATTGCCACAAGTGTCAGCTTATTGTAACAATATGCAGACATTTTGTAGAATTTCAAGCGGACACCATTAGCTATGATGAAACTATATCGAAGCAAACATTGTGAAGAACAATGTGGCTTTATTTTGAGATGCTGTAAAAATTTCCATGTTTTGGCAGGTTTTTGCAAAATGGCAGGGAATGGGCAAGCGATCTGCTCAGAAACATTTTTTTGAAGGAGACTGCCAACTGAAAGAATATTCAGCACTCCTTCACCAGTCTTACATTTATAATTAGTACTTCACGATGTTAAATAAGATATTTTTCAGATTAATCTGCAGTGATATATTTTCAATTGGAAATTGATATGTTGTAAGCATGCTTGTTATGAGGGTGATGCACTGAACCTTTTTTTCTACAAAAATAAGGAGGTTGAAATTAAGACTGCACATGCTTATGTGAAGGCAAAGATAAACAAAACGTAAATGAAACTCAGACTGTGCTTTATAACATGTTCAGACATGTCTTCTATATAAGACGTGTATTGTATGTACATTTGTATTCCTCCTTTCTGAAAGTTGGTGTCTTTATTTAGCAGCAGTCATGTAGAATGAAAGGATGGTCTCCATGCACTCTTTCTGACTAGTATGTTGTCTGCATATACTATGCTCAAATTTAAGCTTCTCCAGTGCAGAATGTCATTCACACACAAACACACCTGTCCCTGGTGCTGAACACCATTCAGGCACAAACACACCTGGCCCTGAACATCATTCACACACAAACACACCTGTCCCTGGTGCTGAACATCATTCACACACAAACATACCTGTCCCTGGTGCTGAACACCGCTCACCAACGAACACACCTGTCCCTGGTGCTGAACACCATTCACACACTCGCACACACACACACACATCTGTCCCTGGAGTTGAACACCATTCACACACACAACGTCACACAAATGCACACTATTTGGCCAGTTTCTACTCTTTCCAGGCACTTCCAAAGCTTGGTAGAGGCTACCACTTCCATGCCTACACGAACAAAGACATTCAGAAAAAGAAGAGTTTAAAATGTCTGATTCGGGTATTTTATTCCTTTCAAAACCAAGGCTGTGCAATAATATACAGTTGAAAATACCCATCAGAATTTACAATATTCTTAGCTACAGCACCAGCACTATGTATATTCACATTTCCAGTATGGACTGAGCAGTCTTACATACATCTCACAGTTTCTGTCAGCAATGTGCAACAAAGCTAAAATCACATTACACAAAGTAGCAGTTTCCTTTCCTTTCTTCTGTATGCACCTTTTTTTGTCCCAAAACCCACTGTAAGACAGTAATGGAAGTTCTGAAACTACTGCTAGGACCAGTCAAACTACTTCAAATACATTAAAAAGTCTGCTATTTTGGGACTTCTGTACAAAAGAGCATGTACAGCATGTTTTCCTTTTATATTAAGTGTAGTCGCTGCTTCAACAGTTTTAACATTCAAAACCAAATCATTGTACATGAACCAGAAAATAATGTCTATATTAAACCAATTGCCAATTTCTCATTCATGAAGTTAATGATAATGACAGATGTAACAATAGCTTTAACAGGATCAATGTCCAATTGCAATATTCTGCTACCATAGCGAAAAATATATTCTCCAAAAATAAGAAATGAGCTACATACTCTAAAGTCCTACTATTTCAGTGTCAGAGCTACAAATGTACATGTATTCATTCGCAATTTTCATTTGAAAAATCTGATCAAAGTTTTTGTAGCAAATGATTACAAAACATGGTCCAATGGCTTCTCTACTTATAAATCAGGGTAGTGAAGATGAGACTATTTTATCATGAAATAAAATTTTGTACTTAACATGGCAATGTAGCACTATCACGGTATGCATTATATGTAGTACACAAAATTGCATGTTTAAAGCAGTGCTATCTAAATCTGGCAGTACATGTATATGCTGGCAATATTACTGTTAGCAATGTTTACACAACCAAGGCATTGTACCTTATAAAACATACAAAAAAGTACCCCCCAAAATTAGCATCTCTTATTATGTTGGGGCAAGTATACCGGTAACAAGTAATCCTTGGAACAGCCCCAAAGTGGCAGTTACATCAATCACCTTTCCTCCCTCCCCCCTCTCTCTCTCTGTTCTCAACATGAGTTGTGAGAAGAGCTATATGATAGCACATAAAATATCACGTATGTACGTACATACTACCTACATCCAAATCACGACGACACCGGCAGCATAAATTACAACTATATACAGAAGTATACATGGGGATGGTTGGGTGGGAGCCAGCCCCACAACTTCTACAAGCGAGTGAAATGTTACAGACCACTCTCAGGAGGGTGGGGGGCACTTGTCAGGGGGTGGGGACAGTCTTGCTTCTCCCACACATACAACATTGTATGAGAACATCAGTTGTAGAGATCAGTATGTAAAATGACATTGCACACTCCTAAAATGTAGCAGCTTTTTTCCTTACTATTTGTTCCAGAATATTTCACATTGCCCATTTTGGTATTTTGGTAAATACAGAATTGTATTTTGTGCTGTAGTTCACTATAGACCTACACCTTGATATTCACACAAGCAAAGATGCATAACGTTTAGGCCACAACAATCTAATCAATTGGTTCATGAATGTGTATGCTTCATTTTTTTCTGATTTGCAAAAAGAAGAATATTCTGCTTCTGAATTAACTCCATAATATTTTGGTTCCAACAGTTGAAGAAAGTGCTTGTCTTCCTAGTTATTATGACTTTTCCATGTATCATTGAAGCTATTTGAATAAAGTTAAGAATTCAATGTTTGAATCACAAACCAGTCTGGCTTATATTTTTTCTGGAAAAATTCTGAGTAACAACAATTTTTCTGAAACAATTTTTTTTTTCTGAAAGAAAACTTTTTTGAATCAGAAAACCTGAAAAACAAGAAATTAAATTGGTGTGGCCTAATACAGAAATGCATTTTGTGTTGTAGTCCATAGACCTACACCTTGAAAGTCGCAAAAGCACACTTTAAGATGTATCACTTTTAAACTGGAGCTGTGGTTTCTAGGGTAGAGATTCAACATTATATCATTCTCGACTCACAGTTGAGTCCTTTCTCCACCAAATGTCCAAGGAACATTGGTATTTCTCAGCTGTCACAAACGTGACATAATTTCATGGATGTCATTCATCCAAAACATTTGGAGACTCTCTTTATGGCACTGAGAAGTAATTACATACAAAGGTGAACAAATTCCTCCATGTGAAGTTCTGACAAGTGCCCCGACATCCCAACTGTTGTCTGTGAATCCCAGTTTCCCCTTACCTAAATATTGTCCCTCAAAAACATCCACACTTTTTTGCTACATTTACAATCAACAATTTTAGCCCAGCTAAAAAGCTCTGCTACATTATATATCCGCCCCTTCCTATCAGCTATAGACCACATGTACATTATATACTACGGCGATATTAGCTAATGCTTTTAGAATATGCTCGTTTTTGATCACATTATGTACAGAATTTTATACAACCAGCCCCCAAATCACTTAGATACCAAGCAAAGCCAAACTGCAAAAGGTCAGAGTTCATTTCATAAACACTCGCGGTAACCAGCATGCTGTATGACCTTCAGGTGGTCCACAGGGTTGGAGCTTTTTTCCTTCTAAGGCCACACCAATTTAACTTGTTGTTTCTCGGATTCGCCCTGTCCATTTTTTTTCTGATTTGCAAAAAAAAAAAAAAATTTGGGGTTCTGAATCAACTGCAAAATGCTCAATAAAAAACATATTTTGGCCCCAATGGTTGGAGAAAGTCCTTTTCTTCCTAGCTGTTAAAGTTTTTCAATATAACAATGCAACTTCCTTGCATCAAAAGTTCAAAATCTATTGTTTTAATTATAAACCAGCCTGGTATGTTCGCTTCATAGCTCATATCGGAACATTTCCAGCTCACTTTTTTTTTTCGCCCTGTCGCTTCATATTTTTTAAAAAATCCGACAAACAACAAATTAAATTGGTGTAGCCTAAAACCTTAATTTAGCTTTACCAGTACTTGTGCCCACAGTAGAACTGGAAGCTCACAAGCCACTCTACTCAATTTTGCTAATCTGACATGACACAGCTCCTAACATAGCCTTTCTCGGCAGTTACAGATACATACAGTATTTCGTATGCACCTCATGTATGCACCGCATGCGATGACTGTTCAAAGTCATTATACAGGTGACACCGTACTCCTGTACCATTCTTCTGGACTGTAAAATTCGACCCCACAATAACTGCATATCTTAACAACCATACCATGAAGCAAGTTTAAACTGCCATTTCCGACACAAGAAATTGAACTTTACCCAAATTTTTGCACAGTCGAAAATTTGGACAAGTCCAGTTTCTTGTGTTGGAAATTACAATTCAAACTTGCTCCATAATGACTTCTACCAACACATGTACAGATGAACTTTTAAGATAACTTTACAACCAACCTGTCCAACTGTTTTCAGAGTGTCATAGAACTTCACTACCTGGTTAGAAGGCCTGGGCTAGATTTGTAGCTATTTACAACCCATGGTTTCAAGTCTTCCACTGACTAGGCAATATCGTCACTAGTTAAACAGCTAATTCAGTTGAATTCAAGTGTATGGTTGTAGACAATCGAAAGAAACGCCAGGGTTTTCGCAGTTGGAGAGCACTGAAAGGTAGCACTGTGCTGAACATGTACATGATTTGATCCAGGTAGCTAAGGTCTGGCTGTTTATGTACATTTAAATCCCTTGGTAAGGATTTAACTACAGGTTCAGTTTAAATCACAACCAGAAGCTGTAGAAAATTAAACTTGATTCTGTCACATTTGTAGCTCTATTGCGACATACGACTAAACTCACTGCTTCAGAATCTGAAATATTTATGTCTGTTTGAATGAATGGACCACAGTATAATAATGTAGCTTCTAATGATGTAGTTCTAATCAGTTTTAATTTTTGAGTCTGACCTTTTCAAATGCTATTTTCTGCATTTTGACGTTCTGATTCTGCCAAAGGGTACTCAGAGCTTGTGAAAAGGTTTTAGGAAATGTATCTTTTTTCTAGTACAACTACAGTCTACAGCTTGCACAAGTCGATGCTTTGCTTTTAGACATTTTTAGTTAATCCTGAACCAGGATTTCCTACCAGCTATACAAAAACCTGGGATAGGCAATATATATAGGTCAGATTGGCTCTGATCAAGAATCAAGGCTGCAATGTGAAATTTCTTTCCTTCACTTCCAAACATTTATGACATCAACAAATCTACTGGGCAACAAACCTTTAAGGATGCCTTGTCTTTAAAAGATAGCAAGATGACAGCTAGAAGTGTTATTACACGACACTCATACAACTTTACAGAAAAAAATGTAATGTCTTGATGCTTATGATTTTTTAAAAATTCAAATGTCCTCTTTTCGGAGAAAGCAAAGATATGAGAGAGCACAGCTTGGTCCTTCCCAGCATGTGGACAGAACGTTCTGCACCTGCATGAAACCTGTAATGTATTGTGCTTAGCACTTCAGCAGAATGTCTCGTTTAAGGTTGTATTCACATTTTTAAGGATGACATTCCATCTATTGTTTTCAAATGTCGTGCCGGAAAAGATATTGTCTGCAACAGGCAAAATTCATACAATGAAAACCATGAAAATTCAGGTTTCACGCAGGTGCAGTACGTTCTGCCGACTCTGCTGTCCTTCCCAGACCCAGACTGTATGTAAAGACATAAAGAAGATGTCCCCAGGTAACCCAACAGACAACAGTTCCCATCATCTGTGGCTGGCAGCAGAGAAGAAGTGAAAGGCTGCGAACTGGCCCTGGATGGGCGTCTTGGGCGAAGCACAGCTGTAGATGAAGTCGTCTGAGTTGAAGCCCGCCCGGTTCAGGGACGGCTCCGAGGCGCTTCTCGTGATCTTGGGCAGCGATCTGACCAGCGAGTCCAGGGAGGCTAGAATCTGTGCAAGGACAGGAGGGGGGATGGTTACAGGACCTGGTGTGGTACAACTTTCAACTAAAGATTAAGCATGAAAACACACCCGGGATAAATGCTAAGTCACAGCAACTTTGTCCTACAGTACAGACCTTGAATTCGTGTAAATCACTGTCAAAAGTTGCACTAAACGTGATTAAAAAACATTCATCCCACATATTAAAATGTGTGCAAAAGCTGTGCACTTCTTGTTTAAATTGTAAAATTCATTTCTCACTTCTGTGACCTTAGCATAAAACTGACCTGAGGGAAAAGTGGTCTCTCGTCTCTGTTGAGTTTGATACATTCACCCATCAGGCGCTTGAAGGCCTTCGGTGTGTCACTGCGACATTTATTTGGGTCCGGTTTCAAGTAGCCACGTCCCACCATGAAAATTATCTGGGGAATACAGAATAACAATGAACAAGTACAGTCAGTTACACAGAGGTACATGTACATGTACTGGCAAAGGTGAGCTTTTGATACCAACTCTATGGCCTTGTTCATACCGAGCAGGATTAATGTGGCTCCATCTGAAGGCTCTATAAGTCACATTGACAACGGCTCAATTCTAAACCACCTCCAGGAGGTAGTTCCAAGCCAACTTGCATGCATTGCAACTTCAGTCTTGGCACAACGATACCTTGCATCTTCTGATTAAACTACAAGGATTGTAGCTAGACCATTTTGCAGTTTTCAACGACACGCGTCGTGCAGATCAAATGCAAGGTATGCGACTTACCTGAATCCGAATTACAAGGCTTAGTATGAAGAGAGCCTATAACAATCCAAGCAGAGCAAACTTGCTACTGGAAGAGTTAAAAGCAAGCTACACCTGGCATACACAATCCATGAAAATATCAATTTTGTCCTAAGTACTGAAAAATTCAGTTTAGCATCTGCTGTACAGCAATGAATTCCTAGACATCAGCTCACCTGATCCCTGTGTTTGATGTGTGCATATGGCAGCTGCCCAGTCACCAGTTCAAATAAAACCACTCCGAATCCATACACGTCTGACTGGAAACTGTAAGGGTTTGGGTCCTGCATTCGGATCACTTCTGGTGCCTGCATCCGGGGGAAAAACACTCTTAATATGTTCTTTGTTGTAATCATAGAAAAGGTACCAGATGAATTGAAAGTTATCTGATATCTCATTTGCATAAAACTTACTAAAGATTTCTGTCAGTGATGTGACAGTGTAGCAGACATTGTAACAAGTAATACAAAATGACTTTAAAGGCATCTTTTGAAGTTCCTGGGTAGCAAAACAACAACAAAAATTCTGGATGAGGAAATCTGTCTGATTGACATTTACTGCCCATTCTTAGCACATTTTTGTTATCATTTCAACATGAAGCATTTGAAGTAGCCCCAAAACAAGCTACGTGAGGCGTCTCTTTTTTGGGTACCACCTGGAACCAGCATACAAAACAAAACAACCGTTTTCCGTCAATGACATTACATTTCTGCCTCACGGATATCAGTATGCCATGGGATAGGGTTGATTTAACTTTCTACATTAAAAGAATGACCAGAAAATTGACTTTGAAAATCCAGTTTTGTGCCCTGAAATTGCAGTGGATGCCTTTAAGATGCATGGACACACATAAACACGGAAGCACCCATGTCTGGTTAGGCCACACCGATTTAATTTTATGGATGACATCCGCGCGCGCATTGATTTTCGCCCGATCTCAAAAAAAAAAAAAAAAAAAAAAGATCACGTATTCCGAGGCTCTGGCCTGGCTTTAGGCCTGGGTAGTGCATGGTGGTGATAACTCTGGTTGACGGCAGCCAGGCTATCGATTCATATATTCCGCAAAAATCCAGCATGTGTCGGCCTGTCGTATACGTCGCTATGTAATGCGCCAAATTCACAATACCAGGTTTGTATTCCTGTGGTTTTGTAGCATTTTTATTTTTGGCCGGATTTTTATTTTTTCGCCCGCGCGCACTAGTTTGGGGGTCTTCAGAGGATGTCATCCATAAAATTAAATCGGTGTGGCCTTACATGTATAAGAGCCCTGTAGTTAATTCTATATGCCCTAACCACTCACCATCCACAGAATGGATCCAGTCGGCTGCTCAAAGTTGTGGGATCCGCTCCACCGAGACTTGACCGTGGCCAGACCGAAGTCTCCGATCTTGACCGTCATGTCCTCCGTTAGGAAGATGTTGTTGGACTTCATGTCTCGATGGATGATGTGCTTGGCATGTAGGTAGCTGTGGAGGAGGAGGACAGGTAAGGCACTGTACTGTGGACAAAGTTTGGTCACCTACTCAAAAACTTGAATGATTGTGTTACACTGGAACGAGTGAAAGAGCAACCAACACTTGTGGACATTGCAAAATGCTGGTGTGTGGTAGTTATTTTTCATAAACATATATGTGAACCATTTACCATGGTCAGTATTGACCGACGGAGGCCATATATATATATATATATATGTGAACACAACATTGTGTGGTCTATTTAGATCACACTGGCAGTGCAAAATATGAATTCCCCTGGGTAGTTAATTGTGGGTAGCACATTGACAGAACGTACTGCACTTACACAAAACTGGTAACATATTGTGCATAGCACTTTGGCAGAATGTCTTATTTAAGGTCATGCTCACCTTTATGAATGACATTCTGTCTATAGTTTTCAAATGTTGTGTTTGAAAGAACATCATCTGCAACGGGCAAAATTCTGACACAGCGTTGACCAGACATCCAACAGAAACTGGAAAATCCAGGTTTCGAGCAAGCCAACTACATTCTGCCTACATACTGGTATAACTAACATTAGACTCAACATCAGCATCAGTGCTCATAGTGTTAACACACAGTACCACACAGACTAAGGAACCTACTCCATTCCCTGTGCCGTCTGCCTGGCGATCTCGATCAGGTTGAGCATCTCAAACTTGGACTCCAGCACGTGGAGATGTCTGTACAGACTGGAGCCCTCGCACCACTGTGTCACGATGGCCAGCTGGTTCTTGGACACACACCCCATGAACAGCAGGATGTTCACATGTCGTGTTTTCCTGTGGGAATGGAGTTCAAATACAATTGAGGGTTTCCTTATAAGAAACAACAAATCCATACACAGAATTTTATTTCCTCCTTGCTTTTTTTTTATGTTCACCTTCGCAGGAGGCAAATATATTGACTTTTTTTTGCTCTGTTTCTTCTTCTTCTCCCGAACACATACTGTCAATGACCTGTACCAGATGTCTGTTACCATGGTAACTGGTGCTGTAGCAAACACTCTGTGGTTGTGGTGTTACATCATATTGCAAGGGGCAGGACAGAGTTGGAGGGGCTGGTCACCATATATATTAATGTGTTCAAGTAAGAATAAACAGTGCAGTAGTAGTTTGTTAGGCTAGACCATGTACATGTAAAGGTACCGTTATTATTCATTTTCTTGGAAAATGTTTTCTAGTTTTATATTTGAAATTTCACTAAAAAAATTAACCATGACATACAATTTTGTAATATATAAGGTTGTATATTGGTTAACAAGATTAGCAGATTTTTTACTGGAAAAGAATTAGAATTCCTGTACTGTAGATACATTTTTTGCTCACCTTAGCACAGCAACTTCATTTCTGAAAGCCTGAAGCTGAGCCGGACTGGGATCTTTTACATTCAACTTTTTCACTGCAACGGGTCCTGCAAGGAAATACAGCATTCCGATGTGTTTTCCTATTGTTATCAGTTAGGACCTCACATCTTGCAACAATACCCCTTCAAATTAGCACTTTAAAAGCATTTCATACTACATGTACAAATGTACATGTAACCAATCTTGATATATACAATGCATGTCAAGGTAGAGACTCCAACCAACTTCTTACAACAGTTCATACATCAATTTGAGTAGATTCTCAACTTGTCTATGACAGTAAGGCTGAATACATGTGTACTGTACTTACCATGCCACTGTCCTTTAAACACAGTTCCAAAGGACCCAGACCCAATCCTGGGGCCAAACAAGATCTGTTCCTCAGGGATTTCCCAGTCATCGTTTGAGTCTCTCCTGTGGAGAAAATGTCACAGATGAGAACAGCAAATAATCCACTGTACTGGTTTCTTTGTCTATGACACAATATCGACATGGGCAAAACAGCACATTGTCAGAACGTACTTCACCTGTGCGAAACCCGCAATGTATTATGCATAGCACTTCGGCAGAATGTCTCATATAAGGTCGTATTTGCTTCCAAACGTTGTATCAAAAAAGATATCATCTGCAACAGGCAAAATTCTGATGCAACGTTGACCAAACATCCAATGAAAACAGTGAAAAATCAGGGTTTCGCGCAGGCGCACTACACTCTGCCGATGTTCTGGCAAAAACCTTACAGACGTGCTTAGAAACTCCAACAACCATGCCAGAAATTTATTTGCATTTCAAAATTTCAGGTTTCCCGTTGTCACAGCCAGCTTAAGAGCGGAATATAGGATGTCATGTAAGCAATCTTTTCAAACAGGGTTCAAAAGATTAGTAGTCTTGAAAAAGAGATGAATTCTCGACATTTCACCATTACTGTTGCTCTTACACCACATGTCTGATCCTGAAGAAAAAAAGCCAGTTTAGTCCTATTAGAAGCATCAATTCTTTATTTTTCACAGCAGCACCCAAGCTACATTTGTACCATGACCAGAAAAGTCCACAACAAGCAGACTGGCAGTTTTGTTACTCACGGCTTTCTTACAGTGACTACAGTTGTGTGACTGTCTTCTCTTTTGTGCCTTGGAAAAAGTCAGTATCATTGGTGAAGAATCATACAACAATCAAATCAAAATCTAAATCATACAGAGACATAACTTCACCAATACTTAAAGGTGGAAGAGCTAGAATTAAATTTTTGTACTTTTAAACCCATGGGCTCGAAATCATTTCTTTCTACTTACCTTCACTGTTGCAGGTAACATTAAAATTTACTATTTCTTCCAGGTAACATTGAAAATAACCAGGCAAATTTTACCTGCACCACAGAATTTAGAAACAAGCAACCATTTTCCATCAGCGACATCACATTTTTGCCTCGCAGATATCAGTATGCTATGGAATAGGGCTGATTCAACTTACTACGTTAGAAAATGACCAGAAAATTGGCTTTAAAATCCAGCATTACTGCCTTGAAGTTGCTTTGGGTGCCTTTAAACATCAGTAGTCGTCTCTTTGAAAAGTGGCTAAGACATGAAAACACCAACCTGTGCGCCTTCTCCTTTTTCTTCATCACTGACCCGTCGTCCGAGGCTGACTTGGATCGGACTCGGACGTTCTTGGAGTTGGCGGTCGGCGAGGACTGGAGGTTGTTTATCTTCATGGGGCTGGACTGGGAGTTGGGAATGGAGGAGGACAGATACGCCGGCGGCGTCACCGATAGGGTCTGGTTCGGCATGCTTTGACCTAGAACACGTGCGGGGAGGGAAGAAAGCTTTCGTCACTTCTTGAAAAGGCTACAGTGCTCTATCCAGCAAGAATTATTTTCTATCATCTCAATTACGTTTTGTGTTAGATCATGTCAAGTGCCAAAGGCATGAGGTGTCATGCTGGATGACAATCCTAGGGAAGTCCAAGGACATGCTCCCACAGGAAAATTTTTGGCCCTATAAAAGACTATTTCCTGAATTTGAGGGGTAAATTTAGCTGGAAATATATACTAAGCTTAGTTTGATGACATCTCTTTCTTGTCAACGATGACAGATTGGGCAAAATTTTTGTCTGTCAGTGTCACGAGCCGCAAAATTCAGTCAAATGACGGAAAGATGGATGCTGGCTAGAACACTGAAATACTGTCTCTAGACCTGTCACTACACTGAAACTCTTGTGACACATTGTACAGTGTATATACAGATGCCTTCAGCTTCTGAAAACATTGCTGAGCAAAACTACAATTGCTCTATTTCTTGTTCAGTTTTCTGGCATCTTTAGAACTACTTTTTTGTACATACTCTAAAAATGTGTGCACATTACATGTATTGGCACAGTTATGGTTCTGTGTTGACCTTGGTCCTCTTTGTCACGTCAGGAAACTATAGCCAACGTAATTTGCTAGTAATATGACTGGAAAGAAATATTGTTATGTTAATCCAAGGAAGTAAATCAAAATCTTTACAACAAAGTTTCGTAAATCTTCAACCTTTTCTAATGTATACTACTTGTGTCTTTTGTCCCACCATAAAACTTTCCCCCTTTAATATGACTATTTAAAAGACTAAGCTAGGAATAGAAACAGAATGCCAGGAAAGACAACAAAAACACACACAGCAAACCACAAGAACAAGTGAAAGACATGGAAAAATACCTTCACTGGCTGGGCTACTAGACTGACCGTTTCTCTCTGAAATTTCAGCAGAATGATGAAACACTGTTACACAATACACCACCATGACGCTCAACATGCAACCGGAGAGGAGTACCTTTATTAATGGCGGCTGGGCTATAGTCAAAGACGCTGACTTCCATGGCGGTGTGAGTAGGAGTACTGGAGACAGATGCATGCCGCCTATTGGACTTAGAGGCAAAGGGGGGCACATGCTGTGCAGCCGCCTGAGTGGGGGAGTCTGAGAAAAGCAGGCAGAGACACAGCCAATAAGACAGCAGCAGGCAAGAGTGAGTCATGCAGAAATGTGCAGTGGTGGAACAAGAAAATGGTAAGAAAAAAACACAGGTGGTAGAGGCAACTCAGTTTGTCCTGCAAGTTTGGGTGAAATATTTCTTAAAAGTCTTAAAAATGCAAAGGCTGTTTTCAGTCACGTTTGGCATTTCAAGATAATTGTGCAAAATGCCAAAGCTACAAATCAATCACTCTTTGACAAAAACCCATATTTGAAATTCAAGGATCTGAAAATACAAAAAATAATTTTTTGGTGCATGTGGCCACTCAGTTCTTCACTTTTTTTCAAAGTTTACACAGTTTCAGACACGTGATATATTTTTTTGTCATTGCAAGGCATTTGCCTCCAACTACGGTGGCAGAAAAGATTTGCGGAAATGGGAAAAAGTGACAATGACACGTACATGTAATGTACACATTTGATACAAGAGAAATGTTTCAAACACATGATGAGAATGCCTCTACAGGTGGCAAAACAAGGAAACAGACTTTTTCAATGATACCATGGGTAGGGACATGGATACTCACCTAACTGGTGATATTGCTGTAGGTGTCTTCCATATCCTAGTTCCTAAGCAACAAGTATCAGCATTCAGTATCAGTATTTAAGTACAATGTAGTTAATGTTAGCAAGTTGCGTCACGTTAAGAAATCAAACGGCTGATACTTTTTGAAACTTTCTAACTTTCTGACAATGAAATTATATGTATGTGCTTCCTTGGGATGTTTCTACATTCATGTCATTCTGACAATGGAATTTGAAATGGAGAATTTCAAACTTTTTGCCAATGAAATTACATGTATGTGCTTCCTTGTGATGTCTCTACATGTATGTCTACTATGATTGAGGTCTTTTAATATTGGCCACTCTTGATCGAGATTCACTACATTTTATTTAGATAGTGGCATTTCAGACAATCACCCTGCTTTACATTATCAACTGAATATTTTTCAAACTTATAATCATCTCATCCTTTCCCTAGCTCCAGTTCAATGTTCTAGCCAGTCTGAAATTTTTTTTTGTATCATCTCAATTCTGTTTCACATATCATCATTTGGAGTGCCAAAGTTGACTAAGCTTAGTATAAT